CAGAGTTATTTCGGTTAAAAAGAAGTTTAAGAAAAGTACTAGTACTAGATAATTATAAAGGCAAAACTATGGAAAAAGTATCCAAAATTCACAGAAAACTCCAAATTATATTTGTACAGTAAAATAAAACACAATCTTTGTACCCATGACCAGAAACCCTCAGCATACTCATCTTAAGGGATACCCTAAAGACACTGATGAATAGCACTTTCCATGGTATACATGGTATACAAGTTTATAATTAGTCAGTCCTGATAATTGTATGTTTAATAATACATAAATAGTAGCGTAATAAACAGACAAGTCATAATATTCTCAGTTTTTCAAAGCAGTGCATAATACAAATTGATATCAAATTTACAGGTGTTGTGAGCAATGAAGCGTGACTAATCCTAAGGGTAGTTGAAAATCACGAGATAACCAGGACACATTAAGTATACAAAACACTTAATTAGGGTTTCTACAAATAATACGTTTTTTATGTGTCAAAAACGGCCTGTCATGCTTTTATACAATTACACCTATCGGAGTTGGGTATGCCAAACGTAAACTAATAATTAGGAAACACCTAATTTTTGTATCCATTAATAGATTAATAAGGATGCCTTGTGTATCACTCAGAATTTTTTAAACCAGATTCCAATTCAATAAGATTAAGATTCCCTAAGTCCGTTTTTCCTGATAACCTTTTCGGTCACAAGCACCCTTGTTAAGTTTTGTTAAAAAAAATAACTAAACTATTAAATATTTTAAATGGTTTTAATAAGGCCAATTATTTTTTCCATAATCTCGCTGCACAAGACCAATATTATTTACATTAGTGACAAAAATTGGGAGTCACATGACTTTAGATCTGGTCTCGTAATCGGAAAAAATGGCCGCTATATACGAGGTAAAACGGCGATTTTATATGAAATTTGATGACCGCTGACCGCGTTACGCAGGTGACCGCTTAATAGAGTTACATTATATAGGAAAATTCATTGGGAGGAAATAAAATGACCGCATAGGACAGGTGACCGCTGGATAAAGGTGACCGCTATGACAAGTTTGACTGTACCTTAAATTGTAAAATCTTCCTTTGATTGCTTTCATATGTTTTTGGAAGAAAAATACCTCACAATGGCTGAGATCTAGCTAATATGGGGGATGCCCAAGCTCTGTAAACTTTCCTTTTTTCAAAATTTTATTTATTTCTCTATGCTTATTTGCAGCAGCGTTTTCAGGTGCAGAAAAATACTCCGGGAACCGGTATTTGGGCTTGCTTTGCAGGAAATCTGCTTAACTTTCCTGGGTGAAATTTTAACATAAAAGTTGCCAATGATAGTCTTTTCTTTGGCTGTATGTACATGTTTTACTGGACCTTTTGAATAAAAAGAAAATTAATAAAATATACTAGTATTTTGGAGCCCTTGCTTCTCTTTGCAATAATAGGACGACAGCTTTCTCTTTGATTCCACATTTTATTCTTGATCTTATAGCAAACTATACAGCGTGAAAGACTAGTCCTTCCACATATCAAAATCATATATTCAGCTATTTATGTAATGAAGCAAAGTTTTCAAAACGTCCTCATTTTCAACTTCTTGGCAGAGATCATTTTTAAACAATATTCAGCTCAGTGTAGTGACCATGCTTACTTTAAAAGTGAATTCCTTTTGCGTCAACAATAGGAAAAATCATGGGGTTTTCTGTGATTAGGAGTTCTTTAATAGAACTTTTCAACTGTTCAAAAATAAAATCAAATACTTCTACATTTGTTATGATAAACTGTGTGTTGCATTACTTATTGAATGACCCTCGTATACATGTACATCTGTTAATAAAATTTTAAAAAATGATATTGAACAATTTATATTTCTATCAGTATAATATAACAGTAAAAAAGTATATAATGTAGGGAGTTAGCAAGATTCCAGTTCCCCGAGAAATGGACAATTTCCTGAGAAGAAATCGAAGCCGAAGGAAATAGTTCTGATCTCAGGGAATGGAATCTTGCTGCCTCCTTCAATGATATACTTTAACTTTACACTAATGTTTTCTTTGAAATCTACATAACACTTCGCAAAAAACTCTCAGCACATGCCTAGTATGACAAGTCAACAAACCGATTCAAAAATTAAAAAAAAAAAATTATATAAAATGTAGCCTCTTTTGAGAATGAAATTATTGCAGTAGTTAATTAAGACATACAGATTCGTGAGGAAAAATACCAATACTCACAGAAGTCGTAGTCTTGGAGGATCGGTATGACATTTTTGTACAAAATTTCTGTTGTCAGGTGAAACGTTTAACTCTTTGTTTACCTTCTAACAAACGTTGTTGAGATGTGAAATTATTTATCATAACAGTCGCGGCTTTTGTATGTTCCTACGTCATGTCATTAGTAAGTGTTAATTTCATATCATGATGAAAATTCACACGTCTTGCACTTTGATTCTAGATGTGCTGTCTTCCCACAAATAAGTTTAAAGAAGCAATAAATTTTGCTGTGCCGTTATTATAAATTCTTTATTAACAGATTTCATATAAATTACTCAGAAATGAAGGAACCAGCTCTACTGAATATGGTATATTAGCTTACCAACTCATGTGTGCCTTCAGCTGTCCACGCATATCTCCCAATGACGCCTGTATCAAGGCACAGTGAATAGTTCGTGTCCTCGAAGAAAGTATGCTACACTGAGGTATAATTCCATTCGAGTGTGGTTTAGTTAGATTTTCATTCTCTCTAATTAATCTTTTATATCAAGAATGAACATGCATGCATTAAAGACAGATATTAAAGGAAAAATACATGTACTACGTAGCGTTTCGAATCACCTGGGGGACATCAACTCCATATGCAGGTGATAATGTATATTGCTACATAAATAAGGGAAGTTGACGATAGAAAAGTTGAGGTCATCACCTTTATCAAAAAATTTTGTTGTTATGTTAACATTAGCGTCTTTTTCTAGAAATATTCAAATATAAAACAAATGTGTCAGACTCTGTGATATCTTTTATTTTGATTTCAATGGAATATATCTAATTAACATAAGAATGAAAATGAATATTGTTAATTGATAAAACGGTTCGTCGATATAACTAAATATTTATGAATACAAAAATAGGTCTGCTAATAACGGGGCACAATAAGTACCCACTTCAATTCCGATAGATGGTTGGAAAACTTAATCTCCAAAAACTACATTGATGTTGTCAATTAGAAACTCATGCATCTTTTTAATGTCAGCTACTGAGTTCTTGTGTGTGCATTCAGATTGTTTTTGAGCAAAATAATTTTGCAAATGACTAATGACAAGGAAAGTATTTTTTTTTTATTGAAAAAGCAGCTGTCTATCACATCAAAAAGACTTTAATTTATCGAGGGGAATAGTTGTATGAAGTGTTGAAAACTCGCACGTTTTGATGTGATTGATACTCAAAGAAACTCAAAGAAATATTACAAAATTTGAAATCACAAAATTTTACCAACATCTGCTTTACGCCACTTCTCGATTATATTATAGATCAATTCTCCAGAAGTTTCTCCGTCACTGTTGTTAATATTTTCGTGAGGAGTAAAGAAAGAGGTTTGGTAGAAATATTATAATTTTATTTATAAGAACGTGCCAGCCCTGAAGAACTTCTAGGCCCTTGGGCGTCGGAAAGAAATTGAAAGTGGGATGGAGGGGATGGGGTGGGGGCTAAACCAACAAAAAAAGTTTGCTGGGCTAAGCCCAACATTGAAAAGTGGGGGGCTAAGCCCCCCCCCCCGGTTCAGACGCCTATGAGGCCTATATTCATGCAAAAATCGGTGCTGAAACGGGGGAAACGCTGCTTTAGCCAACTTTGAATGTCATTTATAAAATTGCAAATAATTAATTTTAGGTTCAAAATGCAAATATGAAAAATTTAGACATGTGTACGGTAGGAACTAACTAATGATCACTGATATTGAAATGTGATTTTTTTTCTTCCGGAAAATTGTTCTCTCCTTTAGGTCAATTCTTTAGTTACAATGAATACATCCTTTAATCAAAACTGCTTGAAGAATCATTTTCGACAGAATTTCATAAATATTTCTTCTTTTTTTGTGACCATAACAAAACCAAAAACTTGGCAGAAGTAGACCATACCATGGTTCATAATGTTTGATAATCTCTTAAAGAGTTTGATGAATGGTTACTAAAAATATAAATTTTGTAAAATTCTATGAAATGTAAAAGTAAATAATTTTGTCATTCTTTTCCTCTATAAAACTATCAACCAAGAAACAATTCTGGTTATTTTCATTGCTATTTTTCTACATGTGTCATTTTATTTATTAACAATATGCATGTATTTGAATTAAATGTCGGTATATTATTTTTAAAACCTAGTCAATTTTCATATTATCGATATAATAATACAGATTCAGATTTAGTCCAATGGAATATAAAGCTTTAAAGTTATGAATTTAATCTGCATTTGTTGTTTTTCAAACTTGACATATCATTTTTATAATTACTACAGTGAAACTCTTGTAAAGATATTCCATATTTCAAATGACATACGACATGAATTAGTATCTGACATTGATGGTATTTAGAAGTAATTGGGAAAAAGTCATAATTATAGTCGCCATAATTGTACACGTACATTACGTTTTTCTTGCAATGTTTTCCCCCTCCAAAATGAAAATAACCAGGACCTTTCAGGGACTTCGTCTTGGATCCATTGAGGGAAGGGGTTGAGTGGAGGATTGAGGGCAACTTAAAGCCTATTCACCCCCCCCCCCCCCACCATTATCATAACCCCAAATCATAGACCCCCCTGCATATTCCATACAGTTAGTCCAAAGGACACTGAACGATTATGAGCGCAGACAATGTCTTGCGTACTCAATAGCATACTACATGTACCATATCTACGGAATTGACTGCCATCCGTCTTGGCATTACAACTTCTGTATTAAAAGTTCTTAGCAACACAGAACAATGTAATTTCAAAAAGAAATATATATAACAAAGCTGTGGTGGTCCGTGAGTGACTTTATTTGATTCAGTAGTTAAAAAAGTTCAGTCCAAACTTGTTAGTGTATTTTTATTGAAAATAATGAATGTTAAATTGTGAAAAGACACATACATTTCAAAATGTCTAATTAACTGTTTAACGTTCGAGGAGAATTGATCACAACCCTACCAAAAATACTACTTAGTAAACTCTAGTTTACTATAGTTAACTATCCCTTACTATAGTATCAAAGTTTTTACTATATTAAATTAAAGTATCATAGGAAATCAAAATATTTTACTACGAGTTTCATACAGTTATATTTCATCTCCAATTCTTACTTACATTTTAAAAAAATATTTTTGTATATTCAAATAACAACAATAAAATTTACATTGATAAGTGCCTTAAGAAATGTCAAGACTCTAAATCTCATTTTAAAAAAGGTTCTTGGGTTTCATAGTAAATAAAAGTATCATAGTAAAGTCTTAAAGTATCCCACTACATCAAAGTATCGGACTAAGTGAAGCATAGGTAACTTTTACAACTATAACTTTAACTAAAGTAAATTTTTGTTAAAAGTATAATGATTATAGTTTTCAAAAATTATCCTAGTCTTCTTTACATTGTTAACCTTCCTAAGGCGGACAAATATACACAAGTATACACTTTTACGGCTATTCTTACTTATGTTAACGTGGACATTTTGATGCACTAAATTAATAAAAGTTTAGAAAAGTGAAAAAATATAAAATACATTTATGTACATTTTGGAATAGTAACAACTATTTACAATGGTAACAGTGCATATTCAAAATAAAATACCATCCCCTTCAAACTTGCTTCTTATCTTTAATTTATTCCATGTTTGGAATTCAAAGGGTTTAATTCAACCTCCAACGAGGAAATACAATAATTTTTTAACTTCCTGTGTTTTTGTATAAACAAAATGTTGACAATTTAATGGTTCATGGTTTAATTCGAGGATGACAATTTAATAATTTGTGAAATCAGTTTTGCAATACAAAAATGATCCGACTTCTAAGGAACCTTGTAAAACACGAAAACATAATATTTATGTATAAGAGAAAAGAAAAAAATAAAGTCCATACATGTGTAAAGTATTAATAAAATCACGCATGAGATTTTAAAGATTTTTAGAAGGGAAAATTTAAAAAAATATACTTGGGACAACTAGAAAAGCGGACCACTGTGTGCACTATGCACTCGAATATATATATTTTTTAATAACATATACATGTACAGAAGAAAAATGTGGTATTATTTAAAAATATTTCATATTATTTCATAATATTGCCTCAAATTTAATATGTGGTATTATTTAAAAATGTTTCAGTTTATTGCCGCAAAATTAGTCAAATATCGAATATTCCACGATTGAATATATCCACTGAAACGATTGAGAACTCTTGTTAGGAATCTGCAGTCCTACTTATAGTTTGTACCGAGATCAGAGTTGATCAATGTGTGTAAAGTTTTTGTTATAACATAGTCGATCACAGTAAGTGTTACAAAATTTTAAAAAAATCCGAAAGAAAACATATTTAGAATTGACATTGTTCGAATAACTTTAATAAATAAAAAAAAATTATAATTTAAAAAAAATAAGTTAAAATACTTAGTATTCGAATAGAATTCGTTGGATGTACGCAATCAAAACTTAAATCTGGACAAAATCTTTTCTTTTATATAAAAAAAAATATAATCTACCTAATAAATCACAAGTACACATCGACGCTATCTTGAACTCTCCATAATTAATTAAACCCCAAAAGACTGGGATACCATTAATCTTGTTTCAGACGAAACAGGAGGTCCATGGACCACAGCGCTCACCTGATTTACTTAAGCCTTTCTGATCTTCAGAAGTTTTTGTAAGATTTTTTATATTCCCATGAAAAATTGTGAATTCATATTATGGCCCCATCCTAAATCCAAGGTCTCTGAATCGACACATGCTTTAATTAAGTATCAATAAGACTAACGTACATGTAGCTTTGCACTTTGTATGCATGCATGCATTAAATACAATTTGATCCTGATTCTATTCAACTCTAACCTGACTCCGGGGCCATAAAACTTAGATGAGCTCACTTTTGATCTAGTCTCACTTTTCTACTATTAATTCCTTTGGTAAAAGTGAGACCGAGATCAAAAGTGAACTCGTCTAAGTTTTATGGCCCCAGAGACCAGTATTCATAATTTGAGAGAAAAAAATAAATCCATACAACTTTAGAATGACTGCAAATTAATGGTTCTATTGTTTTTCTTTAGAAGATTTTAAAAATAAATCTTATTAAGTTCCGTGCAAAAATTTGACCCCCTATCCTGGCCCACCCTACCCCCCGGGAGCCATGATTTGAAATATTTTGAAGAATTTAAAATCTATACAACCTCAGAAAGCTTCTACATACGTTTCATCTCTTCTGTCCCAGTTGTTCTTGAAAGAAGAGTTTTTAATGATTTAAACACTCTATTTTTGCCTTTTCTTGATTATCTCTCATTGGTATGAGGACTTTGCCTTTTATTTGAACAATTTAGAATCCCTCTACCCAAGGATGCTTTGTACCAATTTTGATTTTAATTGGCCTAATGATTCATGAGAAGTCGACAATGTGAAAAGTTAACACGCGGACGGACAGACAGACGGACGGATGCCGGACAACTGGTGATCAGAAAAGCTCACTCGAGCTTTCAGCTCAGATGAGCTAAAAAGTTGATGTGACTATAACCTTGAAAAACTCAGGATGGTGGCAATGTGTACTTTGTGATTTATTTGGTTGTGGTGGTGGTGGGCTATATTTTGTATATAAGAAAAATATATAACGTCATGTACGTTGTGGGACAAAAGTTCAATGTCTTTACAAAAAGGTTACATGCATTTGATCGTCATATGATGATAAAAGAATAGTAAAACTTTAGGGGACTCCATAAAGTTCATTTTATGTGTTCTGTGTATATTTTTAAGGGACATAAATTTGCATTTAGACAGTACGTAAATTTACAGTAAATAGATAGTTACAGTGTAAACGTATACATGTATTTCAAAACAATCTGCGAAGGTTAAAAAGAGGTCTATTTTGTCTGCAAGTATTTAAGCTTTAGTCAGAGTTTATGCCTTAGCTCTGAACTATGTATCCACTGAACCTATTTGCAGTTTTACTCCATAAGGATGATAATTATATTCATCACTATAAAGTACATGTAAAAAAAAATAATCCAACATATTACTGTTGAAATATTCTATAAATGTGTTCCTTTGTTTATTTTTATAATTTCTATATTATTCGTAAGTTTGGTGTTGAACTTATCAGGGTATAATCTTTTGAAAAGCATCATACCACTGATCTAGGTACCTCATTCATTTGTACATGCCTAAAAAATTGTCATATATTGTAGGAAAAATATTTGTTATTTATTATTTGAACAATATTTTGATACTTTAATGTATTATGGGAACCTTTGAAGTAAAACTGTATTTATTAAAAAATCAGTTTAATTGCTCTCATCAATACCTTGTTTTTGTTGAATGCTTAAAACTTCCAAAATAGTTCCTCGAGGATACAGTTATAAGTAATATTTTTGGAATTTAAAGGCAATAGGTTTTTTCCCCGATGAAACACTAGATCTTATTTCCATACAGCGAGTGCATCTGCAACACATTATATTCTAAGAAGCTTTAACACAGAATACAAAAAGGTGTTTCCTTTACCTCTTATAAAATCGGAAATAAAAAATATTGAAAAAAATCACATTTAATAATCGATTCAAAGGTGAGCAAGTAAAAACGTTAAAAAATAAAGAAAAATTTAAAAAAAAAAAAGAGCTAATGATAAAAATTATAGAAAAAATGTCATTCCGGAAATGAGCATTTCCCTCCTTTTTTCATATTACGTGACGCTTCAACGTTTGCTGGAGCTTTTCGGGATATCCAGTGGAATGCAAAAATCACCAAATGATCTGGTATGAGATCTTGGATTCGTAGGGAAAACACTAGCGGCCATTTTCCAGGTCAAGGGTCAATGGATATTTCGTATCACTTTTTGAAAAGGATATACGATTCCACTCGATTTTTAGGGTGTAGCGGATGCGACTTTATCGGGAGAATTACGTCAACGCCTAATGACAACTGGTTCGTCTTCCTCTGCAAACTCGTCAATAGCGTCTGCCATCTCTGCCTTTCTTTTGTGAGAGGTGAAAAGGAAGATAGCACCAGCTATAACGTATACAGCAAACGAAATCCATGACAAAACAAAGGAAAACCCATAAGCTGTTTCTGCATCAGCCGGAATGCGATCGGGAAGGTTCTCCTGTGCATATGCTATTTTCCGTATGAAAACTTCGTTTTCTACCAAAACACATGCAGCTGTAAGAAAAAAAAAACATGACAATTAATGATTCATCTAGGCCAATGAAGAGAGGGCAAGAGGGACGGAGTATTCCTTTTAGTAAATTTACTGAATTTTACACAGCCCTGCCGCTATATGGAGAAATTGTATTCATTCTGCTCATTTGCATATAATGGCGGCAGATTCCATAAAGGTTTATATAGAGAAAGTACAAAAATTGCAATTTTTATATACTATTTCGGATAAAGTTCTTCCGCCGATGGTTTGATTTTTCTTAATATCATTACCGGTGTTGTGAGCGTAGCGGAAACATGTACAACTCTGGATAGAGAATGATCAAAGTGAAAGTTGCGACCGCCGTCTTGATTTGAAAATTCGAAACGACAGTATTATGTTTTATTGAAGGAAAGCACAGGTTTGGTGTCTTTACCATTTTTGATGATGAAATGTAAGTGTTAATTGCAAGTTGACAAAGTTCTTCTATCGATTAATAGGTGCAGGAGAAAGCCTATTTTATAAAATACAGATGATATATCATTTCGTGAAGAGTTACGACCACCGTTTTATTTTGAAAACGTCAATTTCTTGCATCAGTGTGGCCTACTTATTATTTAAAAAAAAAAACGGTATCATGAGTTGTAAATTGTTTTAAATCACAAAAAGTTCAACCCATGTAACTATGACGAAGGCTTGCAGAAAAAACAAAACAAAACGAAACGGACTTGCAGGTTTTAAAATAAAAATTTTAAAACATGGAATTTCGAGTTTATGCAGAATCTTATGAATATTAATGAAGTAAACCACGTGGAAGCATTCTCATGAATAAACTGCACACCATTTCTCCATTGCTTAGATAATTTTAGGAAAATTTCAGAAATTTTATGAGGACTGAGTATTTTGATATCCATCCTGTAGTTGTTATTTTATTATCATTACAAAATACACTTTTCATTCAAACTTTGAATATTTTGCAGTTTTCGAGCATTTTTGCAACTGTTTATGTTTTTATTCGCTATTCTGGCGTCCTGTACATTTAGAGTTTAGTAGCCACCAACTAGAAGGGAACACTATTTGTAATAGCAACTACCTAGGCTGTTGCAGGTGTACATATTTAGCTGATGTACTGTACCTGGCCATAATACATTACGCAAAATGGCGGCCGTGGAAAATAAACAAATAAACATTTTCTCTCTCGATTTCTCAATAATTTAAAATTAACAAGTTTTGAAAGTCATACGTATCCATATATTCAAAGTGGGGCGAAATTGGTTCCTTACTCCCCTTGAAAGAAAAATTTCCATCAAACAATCGCTATTGTAACATACTGACCAGAAAGTAATTTTGGTAATTTTCCTAATTATACTGTATAACACATATAATGTAAAGCTTATACATGTATATGGATTGTTTTTGCATCCACGATTACTGTTTTTAGCGTAACAACCTTTCATGTAGGAAGGCTTCAAATAATGACTGTGATATTTTAAATTTCAACCGTTTGGTCTGGAAAGAAAATATGATTTCAATGAAGATTTTACTTTCTTTTATGTGTCTTTTCAAGTCAAACAAGATGTGTTTGTCAAACACTGATTCCTCTGTATGACAGCTTATAGCGAAGGCTAAACTTTCTCAAATGCAATTCAAACTCCAGGTCAAGAGATCATAAATGTTGGCACCAAAAGTAAGGTTTTGTCTCAAGGAATATACCTGTGAAATATGAAAGCCATAGCACCAACCATTGAAAAGATATGGAGAAGGTTAAAGTTTTACAAAAGTAAGTCAAAAATCAAGGCTAATGGGTCGAAATTGTTGGTATCAAAAGGAAAGTTTTGTCACAAGGAATACACATGTGAAATATGAAAGTCCTAAAATGTAACATCAACCGTTCAAAAGTTATGACCAAGGTTAAGGTTTTTCAAAAGTAGGTCAAACTTCAAGGTCAAAGGGTCAAATTTGTTGGTATTCAAAAAAGGTCTTGTCACAAGGAATACACATGTGAAGTATGAAAGCCCTAGCTCCAATTGTTCAAAAGTTAAGGCAAAGGTAAAAGTTTTTCAAAAGTAGGTCAAACTCAAAGGTCAAGGTCAACGGGTAAAAGTTGTTGGTACCCAAAGAAAGGCCTTGTCACAAGGAATATACTTGTGAAGTATGAAAGCCCCAGCACCAAATATTCAAAGGTTATGGCCAAGGTTAAAGTTTTTCAAAAGTAGATCAAACTCCAAGGTCAAAGGGTCAGAATTGTTGGTATCCAAGGAAAGGTCTTGTCACAAGGAATATAATTATGGAATATGAAAGCCCCAGCTTTTGTTTAAAAGTTATGGCAAAGTTTAATGTTGCTTAAAATTTTGTAAAATTGCGCCAAACTCCAAGGTCAAATCCAGGTAAGGATAAAGAGTTTAGATGATTGTGTAATCTATTTTTTCGAAATACTGCGCATTTGGTGGTTGGGAAACTTAAGAAATGTATACCCTGGTATTATACAATATCAAACTATCTTGTTTAAAAAACATAATATGAAAATAATTTTGAAAGCAAGAGGCTGGCCATAAAGAACTATTTTAATTTGACAAATGCTATCAATTGCAATTAAGAGGTCTCTAAATCTTTTGCCCAGTACCCAAGAGATACAGTATGGATCGCACCTGCTTGATCAGAGATGCTTCTACAGAAATGATCAAAGTAGCCTTCTTACAATATACTCAGTAATTGATCTTTAACATGACAGATACAGTTTCTGTCTCATATCAAATGTCTAACTGAACTTGAGAAACTTTATCTTCGATCATAATTCCTCTCATGGGACAAATGGAATTACTCTATCTGCTGTGTGATGAACAAGTTACTCGTAGTATATCACTATTGCATATTTATGTCATTATTGTAAGAAGCAAAATAATTGTTTTATAAATTGTTGTATAGCTGTATATCATGAATAGATGTGTATTTCTTGGTGTATCATTTTTGAAAGATTATTGCATTACGCTTACCTTTGAATGAATTACCTCCCTTAAAACATTATTCTATATATATATGGCATCTGAATTACAGGTTACAGTGACCTTAATGAAAGGTGTGACATCTGCTTAAGCTACATTATCTGACGAAATTTGATGATTCTAAGCCAAATAGTTTTCTAATTTGAACCGGACAGGGTTTTGCAAAATTTGGCCGTATCATCTTAATTAAAGGTCACAGTGTCCTTAATGTAGGGTACTACACACTTTCTATTTAAGATGCATTCTCTGTCCAAGTTTGATGTTAGGCCAAATAGTTTTCCAGTTATGAGCAATACAGGGTTTTGCCATATCATCTTAATTATCAAAGTACTCAGGAGTACAGAGAGCCGGGCTTATTTACAAAGCTGATTCTTTTTTTTTTACATGAGCCATACCTGTACATTGTATTAACAGCTAAATAATGAGCTCTGCAGACATTGGAAGAATATGTACAAACAATTATAAAAATAATAATAATAATAAAAATAAGGGTTCAATGACATCTTATTTGAAAATAATTGTTAAAAATCTTATGAAAAATTTATTTCAAAATATCAAAATAAATGATAAACCAATTAGTTTTGGGACCTAAAACCACAGTCCGAATTTATCAGGGTCAGAGTTAACATGGCACCGTCGAATGTATCTGGTTCCCTCTCCTGCTTTTCTCCGTCTTTGTAGAGAACTAGGCTACGACAACATTGACTATAAAAAAAAACATTACGCAGATGAACTATGGTGTTTGACTTTGGACTGAAGTTTTCAAAGTCATTACTACTGATGTTTATTTGTATAGATAAAACTTCGTTTCATTTTTGTTGCTTTATTTAGCATTTGTATTATCTCAAAAGTGGTTGAGAGTAAGTACTATATTTTTACACGTAACTTTAATTTGGCGACTATGGGGTCAACACTTTCTGCATTGAACAGGCTGACAATAGCCGGCAATTGCTCTTTGAGCAATAAGCCCGGCTAAAAAGTCACAAAGACCTTAATGTAGGGGCCGTAACCCACTTTTTACTAAACATCATTTATCCAGATAATTTTAAAGTTATGAGCCAGACAGGGTTTTGCCATATTTGGTCGTATTTTTTTTTAAAGGTCAACAGACCTAAGTTTTAAATCCGACACACTTTCTACCTAACATGCAACAGCTGACAAAGTTTGATGATTCTATAGACTTTATATTATTAAAGTTATGAGCGGGACACAAACAAGACAGACAGACGAACAGCATGATTGCCATACCATAATACGTTCCTTCATAGAAGGACGTATAAAAAGATATAAAACATGATAACACTGAATTTCTTCAATTAATTTATTTCGGTAAAATAAAATATCATGTCGGAGAATCAATTTTTTTTAACCCTTTGATTTAAACCGTAGCAGAGTCAAAACAAAATTTCAACTCAAATATTTACCTAATCGATATACTGAAAACTGGAAGATGGTTCTTTTTAAGAGATGTCAGCGTATAATTGAAATAAAAATGACAGCAAAGTTATAATCGAGTGGGGACCAAAAAATCCACAGAAACCTTTACATGCACCAGGAATTAGTGAAATATTAATAGAATATTTGATATGGATTAGCGTTTTGTCTCACAAAAAGAAATTAAATTGTCGGACAAATCGATAACAAAGCCCATATTTACAAGGCTTCTAAAAAGGATGTTCATTAAAAATAAAATTAACAATTTTTCACAGAACGCCCCTATCTTATACTAACTGAAAAAAACTAGTTATGAGAATGCGAAAACACGCACTTATAACAATAATGCTTTCCACATCTTCTAATTCTCATGGATACATGTGTGCATGTATTACTAGTTTGTCTAATGTCTAATTAAACAAGAGGCCTATGGGCCACAACGCTTACCTGAGTTACTATGCCCTTCTTGTTCTTCATCACCATGTAAAACTTTGATCGCCAATTGTAGCCCGATCCCTTGGGGGTATTGATTTGAACAAACTTGAATCTGTACTACCTGAGAATGCCTCCAAATAAATATGACTAATCAAGGTCCCTTTATAAGAAAGTGTAGTCCTTCATTTGAACAAATTTGAATCCCTTTACCCAAGGATACTCTGTGCCAAGTTTGGTTGAAATTAGCCCAGTGTTATTGGTGAAGATAAAAATGTAAAAAGGTTACAACAGCAAAGACAGATAACGGACAAATCTTGATCAGAAAAAAGCTCACTTGAGCCTTTGGCTTAGGTGAGCTAAAAAATTAGTCTAATGGTAAAATATGATTAAGAAAAATAGCCAATTTACTTGAAAAAAATGTAGTATCCATTTAAACAAAAACGTCTCCTATTTACTTACTTAAGTACCTTCTAGCCATACGTTTTGCCTTGCAGTGAGATATACATTGAACTTACCTGTCATAAAATGCATTAGAGAGGTAAGGCGTTTTACAATATATCGTGGTCTTCTGAGCGTATAGAACGCAAACATATGCCCGAGCAACATAATTAACAGGGATATGATTGCAAAAGCTGACCCCGTCCTCATGTAATCTGTCAACAGAAATGAATATTAAATTTAAAAATGGAACATTACAGATGGAAAATTCACCAAAAAAAACTTCACTCTGCAAATTAAAATTTAAATCATGAATATATATATTACGGTATTGACTCTGTGACCATTAGTATATACACTGTAAAAATCAAATTCATAATGCGTAATGTTCATCTTTGATTTCAGAATTTGTATATTTAGCAAAATACATCAGAAAGATTTTTCTTTCTTTCTCTCTCTTTTTTCCTCTTTGAAGAAGTATGCTTATTAAATTTTAAAGTTACCTGGATAATGGATCTGAAATTGCTACAGTAAGTAATTGATTTACCCTAATTGCACTGAAATGGAGAAATCTGTTTCAAGTACTGTAGATTTGTAACAACTGTTTGAATTAACAGTAATGTAAATAGAAATCAAATTGATTCATCTGCATTAATATCATATTATAGATTCCCAATTTAGTGAGCATATAAACACTATTTGCTTTACCGATGTCTTTAATGGTATATACCAGTAACAAAATATTCCTAATGTTTAAACTGGAAAACGCTCGTGACAGATACAAGTATATTGAACTTTAGCAATGTACCTCAAAGGCATCTTCTCAAGATACTAAGATTTTGCAATTCACAACTTCAGCAGAACACAACACTAGTCAGGGAGTGACAAGGTGCGGCATGTTGCCAGAAATAATTACATGTGTACTCTCAAATCCATGCAATTTCTTACCTACGAGTTGGATATCTGTCTTTGTATCTTTCTTTAGCTCGTGTTCTTCTGGGAAAAATTTATGTGATGTACACTCTTCATCTACAATATAACAACACCAACCAAAAGTGCTAGAATGAATCTTGGTACGAATATACTTAGCCTCTAACCAAAGTATCATGAGTTTGAAGACGGAAAGTCTGAACGTGTATAGATTATGATATCTTGAAATCTACAAGATTGGTTCAAAAAAATATTTTTCTCCCAAGATAGTGGAATAAACGTATTTTACACCTGTACAAATATCTATTCTGTTTCGAAAACAAAGGCATTTCAAATTAATACAGTATTTCTATAAATCATTATCGTTTATGTATAATATTTCAAGATCGTTTCGTGCCATTTTCCACCCTCGACGTCAACTTGACATATTTCTTACTATTCTTCATAAAACGTATAAATAATTAACAAAGAAAGATAAAATACAAAAGTCATCCATATTTATTTATTATTCCAGGTATTGATTTTATTCTGCATTACTCATATAAAAAGCGATGTAACCATGGTAACTGACTCTAACAGATGAAAGTATTTTTGGCCGACGTCACAAAGAAATTGACTTGTAATAAAGCCATGTGTCAAAAAGATAATCATACACACTAATAGCAGCTTATTTAAAATATAAATTACTACAGCAGTCATGAATGTTCTTTCCTTTGGTTTCTTTACAAAGGTTAAGATCAGTACTATTAATAATTTTGAAAATCAACATATCACACGCTTAAAAAAGACTTCTTAAAAAGTACACAAGTTCGTGAATAGTAATGCATATCTTAAGTGGTATTTCAAATCTTTGTGTTTTTTGTTTGTTTGTTTGTTTTGTTGTTGTTTTTGTTTTGTTTTTTGTTTGTTTGTTTTTTTTTTAAGCCTAAAATGATCCTCTCTGGGTCTACCTGTCTATACTATAATAGGATGCCCCTCATAATGTGAGCGCTTCCACCTTATTTTTGACACTGGCAAATATCTTTTTTAATTTTCTTGAACGAAAATATCATTCATCATTTAAGTTCCATTATTTCCAAACACATATTAGTCAGATTGGAAACATACCTATAACTTGAAACATACCAGTATTTGACACGATTTTGGAAGTCAACGGACATTTTTAATTCACGATGAAATTTTTCATTAAATTTAATTTCGGTAATTCCTGTAAAGCGTACAAGGGAGAAGTTATTTCAAGGGATCTTCCAAGTATTACCACGAAATCGACTTAGGCTTATTTTGCTTAATGCATTATTTCTTAATAAGAAGACAGTGCTGCAATGGGGGAAGGGGGGGGGGGGTAACCTCTCAGTTCAGAATGTCGACAATGGCATCACTGTTGTTTAAGCAGACATAAATAACAGTTTAGTAAACAAACATGTTAATGGCGGGGTTGCGAATCTCTGCTATTTATGTCTCTGGATTAATGAAATATAGAGATTACGAACAGAATTCAACTCATAGTACATTTAAACAATACAAATCAGGAGCAGAGCAAACACGGACATCTAAAAAACATCAGAGGAGGGATCAGGTGCCATAGAGGAGTAAGAATCCCCTGTCGACCGGTCACACCCGCCGCGTGCTCCTTATCATGATCGGGTAAACGGAAAGTTTAAGCAATCTTTAATTCAATGTTATTTCAATATTGAGGGGGAAAGAACAATACTTTTAAGAGTTCTGAGCACCAAGTTTAAATACTATTTTCTTCTCTAACTTTCCGGCAAGCTCGAAATAACAGTACATCTCCATCTGTTAAAATTTTGTACAAAATTTAAATGGAGTTGCTTCCTATTAATTAAAATTCTGAGGGAAAAATCCCAAATAAAATTAATTCAGTCTGTAAAACGTACGGTACATTTATACAATGTACGTTTTTAATGAAATGCCAGGTTATTGCTTTAGACATTTTCCTGACTTTTCATATGAAATACCTTGTATACACTGTAGATAAAATTATCTTATAAAAATAATTTATTAAAGAAATCAAATAGTTACAGGATGTACATCAAGGGAGGGAGAAGGGGGTTGTCTTGTCCACAAGTACCAATTCAATTCAATTCAATTCGTTTATTGACCAATTAAGGGCCCTCATGGGGCAAAAAGAAAGTACATTGTTAAATTGTATATAATGATTATGATCATACATACGAAATACAATATACATATACATAAGAGGGAAAGAATTGCTTGATTGATAGAAAAGACATACAAGTAGGGGAATACCCAAAATATTTCATATGAACATAAGACTTGTTTTATAGGTATATATATAGTACATCATATATATATGCATTCATTACTAAACCATATACTTGAAAGTATCATACTTTTACATAATTAATAATAATAATTAAAAAAAAAATTATGGTAATGTTTTTTGTAAAAATCTTCCAAGAGAGTTTAGTATATCTAGTTCTTCGCAATTTAGAATCCAGAATAATTTTTGTTTATCAGGCAATTCTGTAAAATGTTTTACTTTAGATGAGATCAGGTTTAATAGGTCTTCTCTTTCCTTTGTAAATTTGCTACAGTGAATAAGGAAATGTTCTTCATCTTCAATTTGATTAAGCGTACAATTTTTACATATTCTTTCTGATCTGGGTGTGTTATTATATCTGCCTAATTCTATGAAAAGTCTGTGCGCTGATACACGTAATCTACATATTGGTTTTCTGTATTCAGGCTTTAATAAAATTAGATATTTTTCCAATCTAAAATTGTTCTTCAGAAATAAATAAGTGACAAGTTTGCCCTCCTTTAGTGTTTCATTTGAGTGCTGCCAATCAAGTGAGTATTTTTTATTCATGGATTGTTTTAATGAATTCATAAAATTACTCTCAGTATAGGACATTATGTTTGGGATATCAAGAATTTTTAGTAATTTTTCTATTGAGGAGTACCAAGTTGTTTTTTGGGCGAAATGAAGTTCCTTACTACATATAAATGCATCTTTTAGTAAAGGGAAATCTGAATTTAAATTTTCTAATCTGTAGCAATATTTAAGTAACATGTTGATAATATCATAATGCAAAGGATATCTACCTAATTCTGAAAGAGAGGCATGGTTCGTACTTTTCCTATTCAAACCTAGTATAGTTTAACTTGATGTGTAAATTTTCTCCTGTAAAGTTTTTATAGCATAGTTGCATCAATATTTGATTAGATTGCTTTATTTTTGAATTATTAACATTAAATATTCCCATATTTCTGAGCCTTAAATTTATATAGGCTTAATTATGTGATCAAAGACATTGAGGCTAGTGGATATCCCAGGATTTAAGCTAAGAAAGTCTTTTCGTAACTTGAAAAAAGCTTTGAGTCCCTTTTTGTATAACTCATTTTTTGCCATAGAGAAAGTCCCCGAGGCTGTGAAATAGATGCCTAGGTATTTATAACTAGATACACATTCAATATTGAAATTTTTGTAGTGAAATTTATGTTTGATTGTTCTCCCAACTTTGTTAAATATAATAATTTTCGTTTTATTAGAATTTACTTTCATACCCCAATCATCACAATACTTTTCTAAAGAATTTAGCTTTTGCTGTAGTCCTTCGGGTGTTGATGAAAAAATTACTATATCATCTGCATACATCAAACAGTCTATACTTTTTGAGTGTAACATGACAGAGTCTATACAGCCTTGTACCTGTGAAAGTTGTATTATCTACTTGTGTGAACATTTGAAGATGAGAAAGTATCATTTTCTACTTGCTATCTTATTGGAAAGTGGGAAAGTAATCTCACATTTATTTTCCTTCCTGTCAGGGAATTTTCAATCAGTAGCTTAAAGTTCACATGGACAAGACAGGATGAAGGATCGATAAATGTCAAATGTATGTGATTGACTGCATTAATTTTAATTTACTGGCGAAAATACGTCAACTGTAGCCCAGAGTCTGTTTACATAACAGCAAAAAATTCTGTGGTAAGGTGAACGTCTGTTTGGAATCTTGCCCTGGATGTTTTGATTAAATGAAACCCCTTTCTATCTCTTTGACCTGGTATGTATTTGAGAGAGAGAGAGAGAGAGAGAGAGAGAAGCAGGCTTTTTGACATCACGTGACCAGAGTTCCACTAGTTTACTTTTTCTCTCATCGGTAATTTTATTTATCGATTTGAGATCCAGGCGATTATCCTGGCAAAACATTTTGATTGCTCGGTCATCATTCACCATATTGTTATATTTTGTATTCTTTGATTGGGAACACATTGGAAACTAGTGGAAAAGTTAATCGATTGTACACACATAACTCAAATCAGATGGTTGACCACCCTTGTCCAGACATATTTTATTTAAAGCTGCCATTATTTCATTATAACAATAACTACAATAGATTTGATGGTTCGATTTTTAGTTTATAATATATAACTTTATCGTGGCGCTTACCATTGAACTGTTTGAAATAACGAACCATAATAATTAAATTGATTATGTAAGAGAGGAAAGGACATTTTCCAGAAAAACACTATTACAAGTACTAGTATATGGTTGTTGTTCAGCTAGGACTGAACCAAATCATTTAAAATAGTGAAAATTTTACGATTAGAAAAAACACGTTTGGTTTTAATTTATCAATAATTAAATCTTTTGTAGAAAAAATCATATGGAATATAGCTGGAAAACACGAGAGTTTATATCTGAAATATATGTTTAATACGCTTGCTTTGAGTGAACATATTTTGCTGCCAGTTTGAATAAAAATTGTTTTCGTGATCATGTACAGACTCATGCAATTTCAACAATGTTCTTCATTCTTCAAGACTATCCAGACTAATTATTACAGAAATTTAAAGTCTGTTTTCTTTTTTTCTTTTCTTTCCTTTTTCTTTTCTTTTTATTTTTTTTTGGGGGGGGGGGTCATTTTGTTAAAAATTTTAAAAAAACTACTAGTAAATGCAATTATGACTTTAAGCTTAGAGTGAATTACTTTGCCAAATATATGGAAGAACAAGGTCATATAATAGAAAACTGAGACATGATTATATGTTTGCTTAATATACAATTAATTACCCCTTATGCGGTCAACATGGTAAAATAAGGACCCGAGACCTGGCCCACGAGGTGACCTGACCTGACCGAGGCCGCGTAGCGGCCGAGGTCAGGTCAGGTCAGCGAGTGGGCCAGGTCGAGGGTCCTTATTTTACCATGTTGAACTCATAAGGGGTAATCAATTGTTTTATTATACCGATATAAGTTAAGGCAATTTTTGTAAGCTTAATTACTAAAAATAATCAATTACATGTATAAGACCTACGAACTGTTATCAGTGTTTCATCGGGATCGGGATTCGCTAGTGAAGTTGTTTACTTTTCGGCTGCTAGTCTTGTAAGTTTTTGCAACGCCGATTTATTAAAACACTCTGTGATTGTCAGTAACATTGCATTTTTATAAATTCACAGATACCATTCCCGACTACAATGACAATCTGGTGCAGACTTTTACTGTACAAGAGAGCCGAGTCTGCGTTCGTTGAATTGTAACGAAAGTTAATTTCAATGAAAACGATAAATGTTATGACGCATCTAAAGGCCAATCGTGTTCCGTATCCTAAAAATACTATACATATTTTTATAACGGCAATTTTTGTAATGTACAATCATTACTGTATGCATATTTTTTTTTAATTTGAATGGAATTTGGATTAACAGGTCATTTTTAGCGGTCATTAATTTTATTGACCGGTCATTATACCCCACGTGCAATGATTCCTAGGTCATTATTGCTGTAAACGGTACTTTTTGGAGTCATTCTTGAGTTTAAAAGCCTTCTAACAAGCCAATCAAATTTGAGTATTCTTAATAGAGATATAATAATAATGGTTATTGCTCTTCTCTTGAAAATCGGATGGTTTTTGATCGTGAAAACAAATTTAAATTACTTTATCAAACTTATATCTTTGTAGTGATAAACGATATGACATATATATTTCAATATCAAATTCTAGTTCTACTAGTTCTATTTAATACCATATTGGCATTTAAGCGCAGATAATGAAATGGTTCAATTGAATATAATCAAAACTAAGGGTATCCGCATACAAGAATGGCAGGTGTACGGGAACTAGCGGTTCTGATTCAGCGTTCCGTAAAAATGTTGTTTCTACACAAAGCTGTCTGTCTGAAGAACCTCTAGTATGTGGGAGAACAACTTAAACGTGTGACTACTGACAAAAGCAAACGACTCAACAAGGGCGCGGATCTAAGCATCATGGTTCTTTAATACATATAGCAATGTTGCATTTTCCCCACAGTTGGCTTTTGAATTTTTACAATGTACTTAAGAACTTGTGTCTGATAAAATGCAATTATTTGAGACAATGCATGGATGTCTTTGACAACATTTCTGGAATTCAATTCCAGGACACTTTACATAAAGAAACAATATATTGGATTTCCCTTTTAAACCTGCTAAGCGGATTTTGAGTTTTATTGATTTTTCAAAGCAATGGAACTAATATGATAAAAATGATTCTCCTTCCAATCCAATTTCATCCTGGATAGATTGAGTTCATATAATGTCTTCTATTAGATATGACAGAATCATATCTTCGATTTCGAAGACGAGAAAATTTTCATTCGAAATGAAAATACAGGAACTAATGTTCACAGTCATCACGGCGGTAAATTTCCTTAGGGAACAGAACCGAACGTCAGTTTTGATGTGGAAATAAACTTCATAAAAACACTGAATAATACGAAGAACTGCAAAACAAAGGTCTCTACAAGGTCAACCGCCGAGGTATTGGAATTAGTTTATGAGTTCAGAGCATTTTATCAGTTAAAACGTTTTATCATAATTACTATCTTCACTACCTCGAGAGATTTTTACATGGCGTAAATTTTTGCCTTTGGGTTTTGTATTCTTTTATACAACTCACAATAAAGAAGGGACAAGCAAATACACACATCAACAAGCACACATTATCAGTAGCTGCTTTGTAAATTGGAAGACACATGCATGACACATATACACATTTTCCGACACGTGTTAATTCGCGTTTGGTACTTCTCCACAGATAGATAATGGACGTTTCCACGGCCGATAATGGTCATAAAGAGAGAAAGATATACTGCTGTGCACGACTTTATGGTTCCTCGATATCAGATCTTCTCAAGATACAGCCAACAAAAACATTAGAAGGTTACTGAAAACCAAGAAGACACTGAATCGTGTCGTATATGTGATCAAACAAGGATATTTTTCATCTCTGAAATCTGAAATTGATTGTGTTTTAATAGAACATCAATCAAACATTTCCAATTTTGGTCAAATCAGCAACATATCTGTTGTCTATAATGGTCAAGAATAACTCGTTATTTTACATTCTATTAATACTCACGGTCTTTCCGCTGTCCGTCTGAGCTTAAGGTGTACCCCTCCTCACAAACTCGGAAAAGACCCCCTGTAAATCCTTTTATGTACACATCTGTCCCTGTAGTATTTTGAACTATTGTAGAATGAAACTCAATATGCACCCAGTTAGTTGTCGCAACTGCAATAATTTGAAACAAAAATGCTAATAATGTAAAAGCCGTAGACCCGTAAAGGAGTCGTTTCTCCCCACATAGTGTGGCAGCCATCGTGTTCCCCTCTTATGCCACGACGTAAATTTTCCCCCTCACATCTGGAGTTGCATTCCACGAAAATGACTTCTCTCTTTCTTATGATAAGCTATTTGCAGCACAACTGACCACGGCTCTCGTTCAAAATCCTTGCAAATATTAGAGAGCAACAGAACAGATAATATGCATGTAGGTATATTTAGAAGTGTAAACATGAAGGCACACGGCCAGAAGATAGGTGTTATCACACAGTTATCCGCTGCTCCACGAGTAACGTTATTAGTACTGCAAGTAACATTTACAGAAGCAATGAACACCACGGGCGAAATCCGTCTCTCGTCTGTACCACATCGCAAATTTCACTTTGCACAAGTCGCGCCATTCGACGCTCCATTGGGCTTTTATCAGATCCAAGTGCAACTTATTTAATATTTCATGTGATCACAAAAATAACCTTGGCTCTTTCTTTCTACGCCATCCACTGTGTGTGTGTGAAAATCTATATGGATCTCGAATAAAATATGGAAACTCACGAAATAGCAGTATGTAAACAATGGAGAATAGAGTCAAAATGGTTCAATTACCAGAATTAAATACGAGCAGTTTCACATTACATCTGCGCTTTCAACAATAAAATTCGATCAGATAAAACAGATGTCTCTTTTTGGGGGAAAAGTCAATAGAAATGACACAGTTTAAAGCATCTATCAGAAGCTACTAATCCGAGACAATACTGAAACACAGAACAGGTGTTCTCGATTTTTCAGTAAGATTTCCAAGAAAAAGGCAGCCCTTGATTAATCGAAATACATTAATTATCATCATGGCATATTTTAAACAGATGCTAGCCTTCCTATTTGATTGATGCTTTGTTTCATGTTGTTACATGTCTCAAAACTTTGAAATCATATAAATTATATTGGCGCTATGTACTCTTATACATTTCATCAAAGTCAAATATATAAAACAAAGAATTAACCAAGAATTCTGCACTGCATTGTTTTTCTTCTTTAAACTAAATTATGTTCATATCATTCTGAGAATTTATACAGAATAAAGTGTACAATGGATTTTGTAAGACCAACACTAACGCAGTAGTGTAACTCTTCAGGTCAACGGAAACTTTGCACTTGTTGACGATAATCAATGCAATTGCAAAAGACGGGAGTTTGTGACTAAGTCTCTCTAGTAAGCGGGATATTCCAGTTCATGTAGATAAATTTGGGACAGCACTCGTTTTTTTAGAAGGTTGGACTTTGAAGTGTTACTGCGAAACAACGAGACGACGTAAGCTTAACTCTTTCATCTTGTACATGTAGGAAACAATGCTTGCCATCGTCAAACAGATTACTACACTGACAATGAGACGTACACGTAAATATGCATGTCACTGCTAAATGAAAGTCCAAAGTTTTGAAATATTTGTAATGTTATAATTTTCATTGAATCAACCTCATTTATTAGGCGCCGTTTTAGTTTTTTTTATTGCCAATAAGTAATACTCAAATAAGTGAAATTGCCAATGCAAACAAGTGCTACCACTCATTCAAATTGAGTAGATGATATCACCTATTCAAATAGGTGATATCACTTATTCAAATAGGTGATGTCACCTTTTCGAATTGGTGAAATTCGAATAGGCGATATAATCTATTCGTATTGAATAGCATGCGCGGATCTAGAGGGGGTTCGGGAGGACCCCTGTTAAGTTGGTAGGAAAAGTTATGCATATGAAACTTAAGAAGTGAATTGAATCGGCTAACACCCTCCTCCCCCACCACCACCACCATACCACCATATAAGTTTTTCACGTTTTCGCGTAAAGTCCATTACCAACCGTGAAAAAAAATATTTCGTGATGGTGGTGGTGGTGGGGGGGGGGGGGTGGTTCTAGGTTTTCGGGAGGGGGGGTTCCAAAGTCATTTTTTGCTTCAGGATATACATTTTATGTCTGCAAGTTCCAGTTGACATCCAGTTGGGGGCGGACCCCCTGACCCTGTTGCAAATTAAATGTACATAAACGTTTTCGCTTGAGCTCAGATCACTATATTCCAAATTCTTCCAACAATCTTGTGTGAAATTCTTTGGGCACTAATGAGCCCCCCTTGTTAGCCGATCCGCTTCTATGTTTTTATGAAAAAAGAATTTCTTCTAAAACTTCTACATGACAAGAAAACTTGCGCTGTGTCCTTCAGTATGACATTTAGATATATAAAACGACGACATTTTATCAATTAACAGTACTTATAGTTTCATTCGTATGTCGACTTAATACATGTATATCCCAGTGAACCTAAAGTCAAATATTAAAAAAAAAACCATCACATAGTGTGCCACATCTATTTCGTATTTGGTTGTTTTACTGACTACACATTAATGGTCAACTAACACCTAAACATTATGACAAATGGGACGACTTCAGCTTTTCAGTCGTCAATTTCCCATATTTGTAAGGTAACATTCTACTATTACCTGAATGGTGTTTCTGTATCTCAGCTGATTCGGTACACAGGAACATGCTCAGAGAGAATGATTAATATTTAAAGCGAGGATAGCTACTGACAAATCAATTAATGTTGCAGGGCTTTCAACATTCTCGTTTAAAGTCAGCATTCGTAATTCTTTGGTCGTTATGATGGCTCGTAGTTTGCAAATGCAACCTTTCTTGCTGAAATGTTCAATTGTAAGACCATTGTTTTTATACAAATTCAAAAATGGCTTACTTCGTTTACCTGATAAATACAAAAGTCTCACGGCGGGTGTGACCGGTCGACGGAAGATGTTTACTGTTCCTTGGCACCTGATCCCACCTCTGGTGTTTTCAGGTGTCTGTGTTATTGAATTGTTCTCAATCTCAGTTGGTATTTTTAGATCAAAAAGATATATTTATAAAATCGATCACTGCACGTTACCTTCACCATTTCACTATATATATGTTAATGTTCATTAGATTCGACATACTCCTTTAAATCTATTATTTTCGTTTTTTTTAATGATAAATAATTTAATAAACTATCCAATTTTTCTCTACATCAATCACAGTGCTTTTAATTTAATCAATATTTTATTATGTAAAGAAGAATTACATAAGTGGATTGGATAACGGGCATTGCCTATGTACATGTAAGTCCTCTCCAGGAGGATTAACTCTACGTGCACACAGTATATATAGAATTAACCATTAATTATAATGTAAGGATTGACAAAGGATGAGAAGAACATTTACAATTAGATAAGAGCAGAAATTATAGACAGAAAAAGAAAAAAATATATAGCACAGGAGTACAGAGTATAACTCAATAGTAAACATATAACATGATTTATTGAAGAATTCTGAAGATGTGCAAACAAACAACAAACCACATTGCTGTGTTGTAGATGATCACGTTATATAATTATACATATACTGGAGAAAGGATGCAATAGAAAGTTTTTAGATGTTTAATTAAAGGTCCTACTTTTAACTTGTACCGATTTGGTACGAGGCTAGGCATGAGTCACATTAATTTAGCCCAGCTTTTATACTCAGCTTCACCAACACGTATATTTTTTTTTCTTATTTTATTTGACTTGGTTCTATCTTCAGTTAATAATATGTATAATTTTAAAATGTTGAGAGAATAAACGACAGTATGTATATATTTCCTGTAGTCTGCCACAAGGTAGCAACGTCATCGCTTTCTGCATCTCAAAATACATTTATGAACACTTTGGTCTGAAAGCTAGGCTCGATCAATGAAGCCTCTACATATTGAAATTCGAAGTCTAAAGGATTAAACATAGAAAGGAATCCATAATCATCAGTGATTTTTTCGTTGTTTGTCGTAAGCAACGTAATGACGTAACAAACGTTCGGGATTGATTTGAGGGTAGTGCTGAGATGCATTGATGACTTCTTCCTCTACCACTGAACAGTCTTCATCTAATCCTGAACAGCATTGACCGAAATTAACAAGACTTTGATGACTTCTGCCTCTAACCCTGAACAACATTGACCGAAATTAACAAGACTTTGATGACTTCTGCCTCTAACCCTGAACAACATTGACCGAAATTAACAAGACTTTGATGACTTCTGCCTCTAACCCTGAACAACATTGACCGAAATTAACAAGACTTTGATGACTTCTGCCTCTAACCCTGAACAGCAGTGACCAAAATTAACAAGACTTTGATGACTTCTTCCACTAACCCTGAACAGCATTGACCGAAATTTACAAGACTTTGATGACTTCTTCCACTAACCCTGAACAGCATTGACCGAAATTTACAAGACTATGAGTCGCCCGCGTGGCGCAGTGGTTTGAGCCTTCACTAGATCTAGAGTCGCGGAGAAAGTTGATCCTTACGTCGCGGGTTCGAATCCCACTGTGGGACGTGGAGACCGGTCCTTTGGATGAGACCGTATAAACCGTGGTTCCGCATCGCAGTAGGGGCTGGGACGAAAAAGATCCCTCACTGCTCAATGGCCCTAAATGTTGAGTATAGGTCAAAATTTGCAGCTCCCCACCACCGAGTGGCCTCTCCATATGAGTAAAAAATTCACGTTAAACAATAAATAAACAAATAAAAAACAAGACTTTGATGACGTCTTCATCTAACTCTGAACAGCATTGACCCCGAAATTAACAAGACTTTGATGACTTCTACCTCTAACCCTGAACATCAGTGACCGAAATTAACAAGACATTTTGATGACGTCTTCCAGTAACCCTGAACAGCAGTGACCAAAATTAACAAGACTTTGATGACTTCTACCTCTAAGTCCAGGGATAGACATTAACTTTCAGATTCACTTGTCCTTCGGGCACGTGAACTCAAATTTGACGTGTACGAATGCAAAACTTGGTTGCCCAAACTTTAGAAAGAAGGAAAATACCGGTAATTTAATTTATTGTTTAAATAAAGTGTGACAAAGTACTTTCTATCGGCAGGTATAAACTGCCAAGGAAAAATGTTGAGGTGCCGGTGATCCCATAAAAGTACAAAAATGAATTCATTTTAGAGAAATCGAATTTCCTTAGCCCTAGATAATAATGTTTATTATCATGATACGAAATTAGAAATCCCTGATGTTTTGCAATGATAGCAAAAGCTTTTCACACTATGTATTATATAACAACTAAAGTATACAGAAGAACTAAAGATCCAGGAATTTTTTCCAGGGGAGTCCACCCCAGTCAAAAAAAAAAAAAAAACAAAAACAAAACAAAACACCCCCCCCCCCGTAAAATCCATTTCCATATTATTTATATATTATATTATATATTTGCTTCAGTATATACTTCTAGTAACTCTGCAAATTCCAGCTGGGGTCCGGACCCCGACCCCCCCCCCCCCCCCCTCTAGATCCGCGCATGTAAGTACATGTATGAAACAAAATCAAGAATTTTCTTCAAATGCCTGGATATCTATAGTTTTTTTTTAATCCTAAAATATATTTATTAATC